TACACTTGTTGGGGCTCCTAAAACAAGGTGAACGAAGTGCTTCAAACAGAGCACAACATTAGCACTTGGTGTAACTGTGCAGTGCACTTTTCGTTGACAATAAACCCTCTTCAGGAGGTGGTAGTGTAGTGTACTACCATGCAGTTCAACTCACTTTGACAGTTGGGCCCCGACGTTTTCTACTCCTCCGAACAATCATAATTTGATTCAACAACACTTTTACCCACATCCAAATAGACCACGATTTAAGTCGATGTTAATAGCCAAGGACAAATAGACCCACTAATAATTTGTTGTCTCTTCTATCGTCCTCATTGAGACCAGAATTAAGGGACCCTCGGAACACAATTGTAGCTTTCTTCCCTATCCATGATTGGTTCCTACCTTCTTCCTCATCTACTTTTTTTACCTATTGGATTTCGACTCACGTTTCCATTCACTCATTCCACAGTCCAGACAAATGAACATTGATTTCTGTCAATCTCTAATTAAGTATTTCGATACAACCATCTTCCCACTTTTTGAAGGAGAAAATTAATTTATGTGAACCCACATTGATACCTCTCAAGCTACGATCATACAACAACATGGATATTTCAATGAATCTTAATTCTATCAGAAAGTGCAACAGAGAAGATTGGATTTTGATACTTTAAGAATTTAACCATCACTCCGCCTCCTAGCAGAATATGGCCCAAATTTAAAGAGAGGAGTGGAGAAAGATGACGGTCAGTTAATGTGAACAGTCTTTTCCTCATTTGCAATTACGTTGCTCTAATGTCAATTAAACTTTCAAAGACAACACAGATTCTACTGATAATAAAACTGAGTATTCAATGCTTATACATTGATAATGTGGCAATTGACAATGCAATTTAGCTCTTAATGACATATCATCTCCGTAAATAAGCGGATTATAGCGCAACAGGTATCGGATGCTTTTTCATCACTGTAGTTTCCTACATCAATATTAGTGAAGAAGGAATTTTAGTGAAACACCTCCAAGGAGGACAGAATTCTTTCAATGTCTGAAGAACATCAATATTCCAATTCTGTTCTTTCAACATTATGACGGAAAGTAAAGTAACCTCACTGCTAAATGGACAGAAATCAACCATGTCATCACTGGCCTTGAAGGCGTCAATCCATCCGACGAAATATAATCAACATTCTACACTTGTCGTGTTCATTGGACACTAACTGAACACAAACAACTAATTGGAAATGTATGATTTCTCAGTAATAATTAAGTTACAATTATGGTTTCATTCCTCGATACCATTGACAAGCGAAATGCGAAATTATTTGAAAGTAACCAGGATGACATCATGCCAATCTCATAAGAATCAGATTACAGTTCAATTTAAACGCATATTTGTTTTATTCAGACTTCTGAACCGAAAAAATGTTCACTGGATTTCTCATTAGAAAACACCTTCAAGATACACTATTCTCCAACACGAATACGAGTATGAAATGCAACTTCCTTTACCATAGTTTAAATGGAAACGGAATTCATAAATGATAGACATTACAAGAATTGGATAATTGATAAGGCCAAACAATCCTCACCTCCTTAGCAAGGAGAATACGAAAGCGTCCAACGAGAGACTCGCCGAAGAAGAAATAGTTCGAAGCAAAGAGAAAGAACCACGAGAGGGTGCGAAACCAAGGCAAATTGTGAGTCCGGTAGACCACGTGGCCAATGTGGATGAGCTCCTTGAAACAGGCCAACTGCAGACACAGTACCTGGGTACAAATAAGAACAATACATGAATAACACGTTCAGCAATTGTTAGAGAGCATTCCCATTCACTTCACTGACTTCACCAACTTCGACACAGTAAAACTGGATATGTGATTCATAAAATGATAAACTATGCAAACATTAAAGTGGTTCGATAGACAAAGCGCAGGTTACTAATTCCTCTTCCTCCACCACCACATCAAACTTCACTCAAAACAGTACAAACACATGCTCAATAAAGAATGTCTGTTCATGTTCACTCTCAAAACACCACACAAGGTATGATTCAATGATGCCAAATACCACTTGTCTCATTATGAGTAGTTCACATGTCTCCTACTAATATAGCTTTTGTGAAGGCAACACTACTTTGAATCTATGGACAGCACAAAGTCTGAGTTCACTTTCTTATTTCCCTTGTGAATACCATCACATTTTGTAGGAAAATAAGTCCTCTAATGTGTATATCTACTTTACTTTAAGATCTACTTCCTTTTATTTTACAGCTTTCACAATTATGATGTCTACTGAGTACGAGAAGTTAGCAGTGCACATTGAATCATCTCTCCACTTTCAAGAAATTCAACTGATTCTGGATCTGCAGAACAGAACCACAGCTCAGATCTCCAGCATCGTTGATCTGAGTCCAAATAAACTATCCACTATCTATCTTTACACATTCTTCACGATTTGCGAAAAACTAAAGGTATGTTAGCAACAGTAAAGTAGCAGTCGCACAATGACTGATTGGGGATCCCAAACAGTAAATTGGAAATAAAGTGGAGGCTAGGAGCTCAGTGAAGATCTCTACACGAAGAAGTGGACATATTTAGTTCTTTGAATAAGATATGTGAGCAAAACTGGCTTGGAACACAAGTTCTGTGAAAGATAAACCGAAACTATTGAAGAGGTGATGAAGTAGTCAAGGTCTCCAAAGTACCTCCAATGCAACTCCCAAAGTCACTTTTGAAATTCGACAAAGTTAGGCTTGATTCCTTCCACCCCCACCTCCACCTCCGTCATCCATCCCACTCACATGAAAGCAGTGAAGCGTTGGACACGGAGAGCTACCTACAACAGAGATGACTTTGGCAAGACTGGAAATAGGACGGAAATGGAGATAAGAAGAGTGAGACTGGAGAAATTTGGCTTCGCATCTGGGAACAGGCACATGTGTAAGCGTGAAGGTACAAGAGAAAATTTCACCCACAGTCAAACTATTCACCGGAGAGGTGCATTAAACATGTGTTTTCTTATTTGAACGGCTGGCGACATGAAGGCTATTAAAACACATAGGAAGTTGATGAAATAGGTTGCCCATGGTAAGCTCATTTGTATTGAGTCTGTAGGAATTGCACAAAAGGGAGACTGCTCACAAATGTCACCAAATGTAGAATTTTTAAGATAAATATATATATATAGGTTGGCAACTAAGTCATTGCCGATTTCAAATAAGAAGGCAAATTCGGAATTTTGTTTAAAAATATAACTTTATTCAATTAGATATTGGCCGTTCTTGTC